TTAACCATACTGCACTTTAGAAAAGTAGTTTTTGATTACTAATGTCAAGGTACTGAACAATGACTAGTTGCAGTTTATAATATATTAAGCCAATATCACGCACATCTTTTTAATTATTATTTTTATTTATACAAAACAGCATGAACTGAAGCCAACCATAAAGACGGAAAAATCTTCGAATTCGCAAAAGGTTACAAGCTGAGGAGACTTAAACCGTCATGAGACAGGTTAGTTTTACTCTAGTGATGACTCGTCGTTGCGACAGAAATCTTGTCTGTAATTCTTGTCCGAATCGCAGGTTTGGACGTTTGGTGATTATACCATCCGTGAGATTATTCCTGTAAAGCTGAAAGAAAAATATTATCGAATGAAGAAATAAGCTTACAGGCCTTGCACCAATGATGAACTAAAATGCTTTATATATGTAAATTTTTATGTTTTAGTCCATTATTATATGTATGTTGTCACCTAACAGAAACTAGAAACAAAAGACTAGACTAATTGGAGATCTATGTTAATCTCGAAAAAAATTTAATCTACTCTTCGTGCTTTATTTCCCACAGTCTCCTTTGCATCATAAATTCATAAATTGGCATTTTTTATTAACAGTTAACGAAATATCAAAAGGTATTTTAACATATTAAGAAGATTGATATCGACGTCTAATGTAATGCTCACGACATACAGCCCCTTATTATCTATCTGATTATAAACCCAACCTACGCATTATCGAAATAATCATTTTAACAAGCAAAACAACTAAACTGTACGGATTAGGTATATCATAAAGTACATTAATACTCGAACGGCAAATAGGGACAAACATTATCATAGGTTATTAACACCTACACTCAAGTTTACAGCAGAAGCGAGCCTAAAGGCATCGTTTCAGTTTACTCTCGATAAACCAACACATGTTGGAAGATATAATCATTCAACAAAGGGTACACAACTGATTTAAGCAACGTTATTATCTTATTAACCACGGCACACGGAAAATAAAAAGAAAATGTGAATAAAAAGAGAAAATAACTCAATAAAATAAAATATAAAAACAATATGTTGCAATTACAGTATAAGTAAGAACCAAGTCTGCTCAAATTACTTTTACTAACTTAGAGAAAACTGTTCAACGTAGCTTTAAATGAACGCAGCAGGAAAACATAAAATACTTATTGATGTATTTTGATCGCAGATTAGATCAAACACAAAATTAAAGTAGGTAGTAGGTCGAAAATTATTTATATGAATTTAAGTGTGTATATAGTAAATCATCTCCTATCCATATTGGGCTTACAGTACAGAACTGTTGGAGGCTGTATACGAATCGAGAATTGAAATACAAGAAAAATTCCAGTCTAAAATTCTCAAGATAATGACTGACCCTTCCTGGTATGTCTCTAATACCAAATTACGCGTGACTTCAATGAAAATCAATAACTATAGCTAAAGGATATGACCAGAAACTACATTCTGGACAAGTACTTGCTGAGATCATCAGATATATAGCGGAAACTCACGTGAAACACTCAAACTAACTTCGGTCTGCCTACGTAACTTTTACGTGGTCATATCTAGTCTGCCATCACTCTTAACCGTCTATTGCATAATGGACCCAAATGGGAACTCAATATATAAAATGTTCATGAGTATATTTGCTATCGGCAATTTTATCTATCATTGTGTGTTGCTGATATACCCATGATATACCCACGTTTTTTTTTATTTTTTTTTTTATATTTATTTAAACACAAAACCACATCAACCGCGCAGGGTTATTAGTGGCTGTAACAAATACATGAAATATTACATTAAATACAATTGAATAAATTGATGTCTTTTAAATAACTTAACACTGTTGAAATTTTTTTGGTGAGAACTGTCTTGAGATCATCATCTGTGAATCCGTGGGATCTTATTTTTTCCATGAATTGAGGACAATCAAGCAGGATATGTTTGACAGTTTGACAGAGTAAGTTGTTAGTGTAGTGTTTTTTATTTTCGAATATTAGCTAATAATAGGGTAAGTTTGAGAAATAAAAATTATATCAGCGTTTAAAAGTGTTGTAAGGATCTACTGATATACTGAAATAATAAATTTACTAGCGCACAAACTCGACATACCTGGTAGAGCGTAGAGTGGTACTACTGGTAGAGCCTTTATAGTTACCTTGGTGTACCCCTCAGAGCTCCTGTAATTCCAAGACAAGCAACTCTTTGCATCTTACTTAATTTGCGGATGATACTTTTTGCAGTACCATAGTGGCCACCATACAATGATGCATGTGATATTGTTTGTATGTTATAACTCCAATATATTATGTTTACTCTAAAGAATTTCTTTATTGAAATATTATGAGATATGATTATAACAGTAAAATATCATACAAATAATGAAATATACCAATAATATGTAACCTACAATCAACCAGATACTGAACTGAAATATGATTTTAATAGTGAAATATCTTTCAAAGATTGGCCAATATTATTAAATAAATATTCTAAACTAAGTAACGATTTCAATAAAAGATAATATCTAATCGCGAACTCGAGACTATCAACTTGAGAATATGAAAAAATGAATTATCAGAGTATTTTGTAAAAGAACTAAGATATAAGATTGGTATAAGAAATGCATAATACACCGCTACAACAACGTATAGAAGGGCACGTCTGTGGATTTTATGCAATTTGACAATATCGAACATGTATTTTTAAAAATGAATTAATGTATGTTTTTGGACTAAGAAAAACTTATGTACAAGTTTTAAGACTTTGAGAGTTTTTCTTCAAGAATTACCATACAGGCAGATCCTGTAAAGTTTAGTTTAACAGAAAGAAAAGTATTCTGGTAGTTTAATTCAGTGAATGATTAGTCACAAAATAATTGTTTACATTGACCAAATATAGCACAATACAACTGTTATATACAGTGAACGGCTAAATTATGGAATATTATTATTATTTCGAGAACCGTCGAGTTTTGAGGGAAATTCCGAAACAGGTCGATTTTTATTATAAAATATCCATCTTATAACGTACATGGAGTAGGGATGACGAGGTTTTATAGAATGGCCAGCAAGGTCGCCAGATCTAACACATCTAGACTTTTCTTGTTGGGTTACATAAAATCAAAAGTTTATGTCAATAGATCCCAAAACTTACAGGACTTGAAAGATAGAATTAGGCATGAAATGAGCCTAATTACTCCAGAAGTCATCCACAATGTACTTGATGAATGTGTCCGTAGATTCGCATATTGTCAAGAAACCGAGGGATGACATTGCGAACATTTAATTTAAAATAATTATTATGGATAATTTGGTAACTTTAAAGTACATTATTAATTAAATCATTAGTTGTAATGTAGTTGAATTTAAATAAAAAAAAATTGTTTTTGTACCCTTAAAAAAATATTTTAGTTAAAAATATAATGTTAAATAGAAAATTTAATTCTCCTTCAAATGAGGTGTCGCATTATACCGATTTCTATTTAAAAAAATTAACGATTACGTCACTACACCCACACCGGTCACGTCATCCCTACTCCATGTACGTTATAAGATGGGCATTTTATAACAAAAATCGACGTGTTTCGGGATTTTAAAACTTGACGGTTCTCGAAATAACGATAATATTCCATACTTTAGCCGTTCACTGTATGTAGAGGTAATTATCAATTTAAAAAAAAGTTATACAAAGTCGTAAGTAACCTCAACTACGTATTGTATGATCCATTTTTAGAGCCTAGCTCCCTTTATATAACCGTTAGTTAGCATTTATCAAAGTTTTAGTGTAATCGTGAATATCGACACTCTCTATTACTTCCATGACCCTTTAAAAATATTTATCCACCAAATTCCACATTCAATACCATACTGGTGCTCACATTCCTTTCTCTAGTGCCATTTTTGTTTATTATCCTCTACACTTGGTAAATGATTGAATGCTTTTCCTTAAATCGTATGGTAGTCTGTTGTCTTCTTCTTTAAGTGCCGCCTCCCAATCGGAGGTTGGATATCATCATCACTATCTTTACTCTATCGCTGCTCTAAAGACTTCTAAACCATCTGAACCATTCTAAACCGTTTGAACTGCATCTAAACCAATCCCGTAAATTTTTCAACCATGATACTCTGCTTCTTCCTATACTTCTTCCTCCTCTTCCGTACATTAAGGATCTTAGCATTTCATATCGCTGTTCTCTCATTACGTGTTCCAGGTATTGTAACTTTCTTATTTCTATTGTGTTTATGATTTCGTATTCTTCGCTCATGGCTCATCGAATGCTATTTAAAGTATCCTTCTGTAACACCACATTTCAAATGGCTGCAACTTATTTATGTGTACTTGCTTCAGTGTCCAGCTTTCAAGTTCATATTATAAGTCCGTTTTGTTTATGTTTTTTTTTTCATGTCTTACTTTGTCAAATGCTTTTTCCAAATCAACGTAATAAACATGCACATCCACATTCATATCCATGCATCTTTAAGCTATCACATTAAAACCAAATAACGTCTCCTAGTCGCAATCTTAATCATAACTGACTATCCTATTCCTTCTTCCACTTTTTTATTTATACGACTATGTATTATTTTCAAGAATAATTTGAGAAAATGGCTTAATAATGAAATTGTTCTGTACTCACTGTAGTCTTTGCGTTTTTATTTTTTAGGGATAAAGCAAAAGGTGTAGAGTAACCATTGTTTCGGTATATGTCCTGTTTTGTACAGTGTGTTACACAAGTCTACTACAATATCTAAGGTTTCATCATTAATTGATGTATTTTACGCTTTCTACTGGAATTTGATCTGGACCTACTTCTTTGCCATTTTTGCTGTTTTTTAATGCCATCTTAATTTGCATTTTTAATATCTTTAAAACCACACCATCTTCTACTTTCACCTGTTCTGTATTATTGTTTATTATATATCATTGTTACATTGTAAATATAATTTTATGATCAGACACACACCAACCAGCGATTGTTTTTACAGGTGCCGTTGACAATAGATGCGTTATCCCTAGAGGCAAGGGAGTAGGCGGCACATCTTTAATAAATCAAAATATCTACAGTCGAGGAAACTCCATCGATTACGATAGATGGGCAGAGTTGGTGAACGACCAGAGTTGGAGATACGAAAACGTGCTAAATTATTTCAAAAAATCCGAGGACTTTCACCAAAACAATCCACAGGCGCCAGTAGACTGGGACTACCACGGCAAAAAGGGATACCTTTACACCAACTTCCACTTACCACCTTCAAACTTCACTGAAGTGTTCCTAAAAGCTAATCGAGAACTTGGTCTAAACATTACGGATTACAATGGTAAAGAACAGATAGGAGCCACCATCATGCAAATTAATACCAAAAAAGGACGAAGGTACGATCAAGCTTCGGCCTTCATTACACCAGTAAGGGAAAGAAGTAATCTCATCATCTCCGAAGGAAGTTATGTGGTTAAACTAGAAACAAAACATAAAAAAGTAAAAAGTGTTCTTTTTACGAAAAATAAGAAATTGTTTAGAGTCAAAATAACCAGAGAAGTTATTTTATCTGCTGGTGCTATATCTTCACCGCAAATTCTTATGCTGTCTGGTATAGGTCCCAAAAAGCACTTAAACGGTATGGAAATACCTATTGTTCAAGATTTACCCGTAGGAAATAATCTAAGAGATCATATCTTTTGTGGATTACAGTTTTCTTCAAATGTGTCGTCAGTAAATCAAACTCTTACACAGAAAATCAAAGAATTTTTACATGGTTATGGTGATTTAACAGCTGGAAATCCTCTAGATGCAGCTGGATGGTATAGAACTGCTCTAGAAAATACTTTCAATTATCCTGATATAGAAGTAATACCGTCAATTTCAGGCTCAGGTGAAATAGGAAAGAAGTTTCTTCAGTGGAAGGATGAAATATGGAATACGATCTTTAATATTTCCATACCTAATCCATTTACTTTAAGTGCAGTATTACTGCATAGTAAGTCTGTAGGTACTGTCCGATTACAGACTAAAAATCCCTATTATTACCCAGCTATAGATTACAACTCGTTAAGCGATCGACATGATGCAGATCTAAAAACACTTTACGAAGGAATACAACTAATTCTGAATATTAGTAAAACACTAGCTTTCCAAAAAATGGGCACAAAATTAGAAGTACGACCGTTATCGGCGTGCGAAGCAACCGATTTTTTATCTAGACACTATTGGTATTGTTTTATAAGACAAATGTCAATACCCGCGTTTCATCCAGTCGGAACGTGTAGAACTGGGACGGATCCTAAAGTAGCAGTGGTGGATTGGAATCTCAATGTTTTTGGAATGAGGCGGTTGAGAGTTGCTGATGCCAGCGTGCTCCCTTTCACGTTTTCAGGTCATCCTAATGCTATTTGTACCATGATTGGAGAGAAACTTTCTGATGTTATTAAATTCGAGTACAAGAAGGATTTTGCACCTTAAACGTTTGCTACAACAATGTTGTGTTTTCTTGTAGATCTGATTACACGTTTTTGTAAAAAATTTTACACTTTTATACTAATACTGAATAATTTTGAATTAAATAAAAAATTACATACGCTCTAGAATATTTATGGCTATTTCAAATTCATAGAATACTCATTGAGTTATCTTCAGCCATACATTCGACTATAAAAGGCAAGTTGATCAAAATTGTAAATTAGTGAAAAACTATTAAAATAAGTAATATAATGCCTAATTAAAAAATATTCGACCGTACTAATCAGACAAGCCATATTAAATTAGTTGTCGTCAATGTTATATTTAAATCAACTAATCACCGACAGTTAAATAAAATTCAAATGAAATAACTTTTTTTAGCCACTGGCAATTTGTATTTTTGTAATTTTGTAGCCAAGCGAGCTTATTGTCGGACTTGCATTTTCCTGGTTTCTACTCTCCATCGTGTATTTTTTAACTCTATTGTAATGTTGGATTTCGAACAAAGAAACCCCTTTTAGAGCTCGTAATTCGAACATAAAACATTTTAAATATAAAAGTTCACCTTAATTGCACTACTTCGTTTAGAAATTACGAAACAAAACCTTATGAAAATAGGGTTTCCGTATTTATTATTCGAGAATAATTTCAAAGCTGTTTGAGTCAGCTCGTGTTGTTGCCTGCGGTTCCTGCCAATTTTTAGTAGAGAAGTTTTTGTTACTGGGTATTTTGAATATATTTTCAACGAAAGTAATTTATTTCAACACGTATATAAGTACTATTAACAATATACTAATTAACAAAATGTTAAGTTTAAGGTAGCGAGAGCTGGCGCCTGAGCTGCTCGAAAATAGAAAAGGAATTATTCTAAGAGAGATAGGAGAGGTACTTAATCGCGGGTGTCACAAATGCGTAGTTGCCGTACACAAAAAAAAAAACAAAATAAAAATAATAATAATAATATTGAATAAAACGTAGAAAAAAATTTGTTAATAATATTTATTTTCATAAAACATAATTAATTCTCGAAGGGAAGGTATTTTTGTATGTATCGCGGACTGATGCAACTTGTGTGTCTTAATGATTACTAAACTAAACACAAGACAGAACACACGATCTTTGATTATTTTTCTAAGCCAGACGGTAAACTCAAGTATTATCGACCTTTTATCTTGTGATGTTATTGCTTACAATATGAAATATATATTGCTTCCCATTTATGAAAAATGTATAATATAATAATAATAATTCACCTTCAAATACCTGGTGAAACCAATATCGAAACTGAAGATATCGCCATTAACCGGGGCCTTTTCCAGGGGGACTCGTTGAATTCACTTTGGTTCTGCCTAGCGATGAACCCACTATCTCAGCTGTTGAACTCCGCTGACTCAGGATTTAGCATCAAAAATAACAACACTGTTGTGGCGAAGCTTAATCATCTGTTGTATATGGATGATTTGAAGTTAATGACTTCCACTCAAAACCAGCTAGATCAGATGCTAAAAACTGTAGAAACTTTCTCAAATGATATTAGTATGCATTTGGGACTAGACAAGTGCCGTATACTAAATATAGTCAGAGGAAAGGTTCAGCCCGGAGGTTTCGATATGCAAGATGGCCAAAACATCGAGGCAATGGGTGAAAATGATATTTACAAATATCTCGGAGTAAAACAGGCGCGGAAAATTGACTATGAACAAATGAAAACTGAACTAACTTCGGAATTCGTGCGAAGAGTAAGACAACTAAATCGGTCATATCTTAATAGTAAAAATTTCTTTAAGGCATTAAAGACGTACGCCTATTCCGCGCTGAGCTACTCATTTGGTATTATAAAGTGGTCAAAAACGGATATGGAGGCTCTTCAGCGTAAAGTAAGAACACTTCTCACAAAGACGCAAAAACATCATCCACGCAGTGCAGTAGAGAGAACAACATTACCGCGGTATCAAGGGGGAAGAGGACTTATGGATATAGGTGAGCAATTGGATAAACAAATTGCTAATTTAAGAACTTATTTTCAGGTACAGGCTGAGACATCTACTTTATATCGAGCAATTTGCGCAGTAGATGATACAACGCCGCTTAAACTAAGAGAACAAGAAATGCGCATAAACCACCTGACTCGGCAAGAAAAAATGCGCATCTGGATGAGTAAACCTCTGAATGGGCGACATCTCAATGAGATCAGCCAAGAATATGTCGACAATACAGCGTCGAACTATTGGTTGACATCAGGAAAGATGTTTCCCGAGACCGAGGGTTTCCTACTTGCCATTCAGGATCAGGTTACCTGATCATTAACCTTACCTGAACACCTAAACAGTTACCTGAACAGTTAAAAATTACCTAAAATATATTGTTAAAGATCCTCAAGTCCAAAATAACAAATGCTGATATGGATGCCAAACCCAAGAAACCATCCAACATCTTACCGGTGGCTGCCAGGCATTTGTCGGTACCGATTATAAAGAACGCCATGACTCAGTAGGAAAGATTATCTACCAAGAACTAGCTGACAAATTGGGACTTCTCCAAACCGAACATCTTCCTTATTATCAATATATCCCTGACAGAATGCTTGAAAATGACAACTACAAGCTATACTGGGACCGCACTGTGCTCACAGACCAACCAGTGGCTCATAAGAGACCGGATCTCATACTAGTGAATAAACTTACCAGGCAAACAACACTTATTGATGTGGCGATACCTAACACTAACAATTTGCGTGTTTAATACAACGAAAAGATCGCCAAGTATAGAGATCTAGAAACACAAATCAAGAGACAATGCAGAATGGAAAGTACCCAGATGATACCTATTGTTCTATCTACTACTGGTGTTATTCCCAAAAACCTCCTAGCGAATATAAAACAACTGGGTCTAAATGAACATCTTCATAAGGCCATGCAGAAAGCTGTACTCCTCGCGACGTCCAGATGTGTACGAAAATTTCTGGGAGATACTCCGACATACCAAGTCACCTAGGGATCGATAACACGGAAAGAGTTCCACTCGAGCTCAATCCTTTTGATACCGTAGGTATCTGGGATGAGTGAATTTTCCCCTTAGAGGGATTGTGAGCCGTATGGCTAAATCTGGATAATAATAATATATCTGTAGTAAATAAACATTGGAGGAACACATTTCAATTTTTATGTCATTTCTATTTCACATGTGTATAACCAATTGCGATAATGTAAATTTTAACACGAAAAACTGTTATTTAATTTTTGAAATAATTATCTTGTCGCTGCAGATATACGTTGTATTATCAATAATAGTGAACTATAAAGTAGGTACTAATTAACTGATCCATTGTTTACTTATTATTTACTGGTATTTTTTGTTCTGTAAGTTTTTATTTATTTATTGATTATAATTTTATTGATTGTAACTTAAATTATTTAAATCTGAATTCATTTTGAAAATGAGTATTATAATTATCTGTTAATTGAGCTATACGTTCTTGTATCTTTTTTAAATCAACTAAGACTTTATCTGCATTAGCTTCTTCGGTTGTAAACTTAAAAACATTGAAAATTATTTCTCGTGCTTGAGATCCCAAAGGTTTGCCTTTTAATACACTTGCCATTTTAATAACTATAAATAATAGTTTATAATATAGGGCCACTCCAAATAAAAATGTAAATACTTGACAACACTGTCAGAAATCTAGCACTAATTACACGATGTGAACTCCTAGCCGACTGCAATAGAAATGAGCAAATAATTTGTTTGAAAAACACAAGTAGAATATAAAATCTTTAAAAAATATTTTAAATGAAAAAATAAGATGGAAATGTAATTTCGTCGAAACGTTCCGAATATATCTATTTGAGAGCAAAGATAGAAAGAGAAGGACCTGATAGGCGCACTAAACTCAGTACTCTAGTCAAAAACTATCTCTAAACCGAAGAAGATAGATCTATATAACAGCATTTTTAAAAGCGTTATACCTACTTTTTGTATAAAACATGTCAAATCATTAAGAGAACGGAACAAAATTCGTTCCGGTAGCCGATTTTTGGCACAGATCAGTAGGTATATCGAGAATGAAGCACGTAACAAATGAAAAATAAGACAAATCATGGAGAAAACAACCGCCACCATAGAATAAATACAGCAAAACAGCTTATTTGGTACGGACATGTAAATACAGAGAATAACAAACCATCGCCTACCGAAGAAAATATTGGATTGGCAGCCACTTGAGAGAAAAAAACAAGGAAGACCGAAAACAACAAGGCTTAATGAAATCCAAAAGGCAATATCAGAGAGATCTACGATCAGGAGACTGGGTCGATAGACATGAATAAGTAAGGATAACGTACTTTAGACAATTCGTCATTCATTCGATTTTACCGATTCATTGAATCTGAAAAATGTATACCTGGTTATTTTTTACACGCCAATCGTCTGCACTATTTCTTACCTGACACTTATTCTAGGAAATATTTTTACCTGAAAATTTAAATCTTTCATTGAAAGTTTCTTTTGCATGTTCCTTCTTGGAAAACAATTCAAACATTATTTTTAACACCGTAACAGTTAGGAGGATTAAGAGAAGTGTAGAAAAAGTAATTCGTCAGAAAGAGTAAAAAGTTATCAGATGCATAGGGTGACCATATGTACTTTTTTTAGTAGGACAGTACTTTCTTTTCAAAGGCTGTCCTATTGTACTTTAAAATTTATGAAGTACACCTAAATGTACTCTTTTTCTTAATTACACAAAATTAAGTCCTACTTTTTGTCCAAACAAAATATAATTATGGTTCGAATTGATTCAAGAATCGATCTTTTGCGGAAGAATCAGAATCTCCTATCTTTAGCAGCAATCGATCGGCGCAGGAGTCACTTGTGACTCTTGTCGCTGCGTCATCGTCTAGTTTAGTTTATTACCGATACGGCCATCTCCCTCCCATCACTGTCGATTTCATTTCGCAGCAAGATCTTATTATTTTATTTATTTAGTAAAAATATATATCTCGTCGTAT